CGGGAATGGGGTGGGAATGCATCGGGAATGGGGCGGGAATGGGGTGGGATGCGGCGGGATGCAGTGGGACTGCAGCGGGAACGCTGCAGGAACACAGCAGGAATGCAGCGGGCTGCGGCGGGATGCAGCGGGAATCCTGTCCCTCCCGCAGGACATCGGCCTCTGCGCCGACTTCCATCCCGGCGGGCGCGTGGTGGCCGTGGGGCTGCAGGCCGGCCGGTAAATCCCGAGGGAGCGGCGCCCGGAGCGCCCGGAGCGCCCGGAGCGCCCGGAGCGCCGCATCCCGGGGCTCGCCCGCAGGTGGCTGGCGCTGGACGCGGAGACGCGCCGGGAGCTGGCGGGCGGCGCCGACGGCCACGAGCAGCTCTCCGTGGTGCGCTACTCGCCAGGTGGGCGGCGCTCCGGCATTCCGGCATTCCGCGCTCCGGAAACCCACAATTCCTGCATTCTGGAGCTGCGGAGTTCCACAAAGCCAGCGTTCTGGTGTTCCGGAGCTCCGGAACGGTGGCCTTCCTGCGTTCCGGAGTGCCACATTCCCGGCATTCCCGAGCTCCGGAATTCGGCCTCACGCGTTCCGTCTCCCCGCGCAGACGGCGCCTTCCTGGCCGTGGGCTCGCACGACAACTTCATCTACGTGTACAGCGTGGCCGAGGGCGGGCGCCGCTACGGGCGCTTCGGGCGCTGCGCGGTGAGCGCCCCGGCATTCCCGGCGTTCCCGGCATTCCCGGCGTTCCCGGCATTCCCGGTGTTCCCGGCATTCCCGGCATTCCCGGCGTTCCCAGCATTCCCGGCATTCCCGGCGGCCCCGGGTGCTCTGGCGTTCCGGGTGTTCCCAGCATCCCCGGGTGTCCCAGTGTTCCCGGTCTCCCCGGATGCTCTGGTGTCCCCGGGTGCTCCGGCATTCCCGGGTGCTCCGGTGTCCCCGATGTCCCATTCACTCCGACGTCCCCGCTCGCTCCGCCCGGCCCCGGCTCGCTCCGGCTCTCCGGGACGTCCCCACTCGCTCCGATATCCCCTCGTGCTCCGGCTCTCCCGGCTGCTTGGGCTCGCTCTGGCGGGATCCGGCGGGATGCGGTGGGATCCGGGTGGGTCCGGCGGGGCGTGGCCGCTGACCCCGCCCTCCCCCCAGGGCCACTCCAGCTTCATCACCCACCTGGACTGGTCCAAGGACAGTCGCTTCATGGTGTCCAACTCGGGCGACTACGAGATCCTCTACTGTGAGTGTCACC